CCTTTCAATGTTTGGCACTCCACACAGTGTTGTGGAGAGACCAGAGAGTGTCCCCTGTTCTAATGCCAGAGTCTGGTACTGCTTGCTGGCGTATCTGGGGCAGAGTTCTTTCCACATGGTGCGTGTGAGTTTGGCTTGGCCACTGTCCCTGCCAAGACTTCCGGAACGGTTTTGTTCAATCCCCTGGTTTTTAACATGTCATGCTATCTTGGTTGTCTGTGCTGAGCTCTGGCTGCTGGTCTTGTGGCCTCAGGATGCCAAGGGTCCTAAGGTCCTAGGGATTTTCTTTCATGGGGTGTGGTAAGATTCACAGATGTAGAAATGGCCATAATGAGGCAGAAAGTCTGTGAAGCCCTAGAAATAGGGGCCATGGTACGCCATGCAGGGCCCACAGGGAAGCACTGAGGTTGGCCAGGAGGCAGAGAGAGGGAGGGAAATGGGTGGACAGCAGCCATTACTGTGGCTTGTGGGGGGAAACGTGGCCAAGACAGGGGCCACAGGCTTGGCTGAGTAAGGCCAGCAGGCTGGGGCACAGGGGCTGTCCCTGGCTGTGAGATACCTGGCCTGGGCTGAGTAGGGCCCATGGATGCCACCAGTGTGAGTCCCCAGAGAGGAGACGTTTGGGGCTGGCTCTGGGTGGGTTGGTTTGCACATGGCAGTTTTGCTTGAGGACAAGGACCAGCCCTGGGAGCAGTGTTTCCAGGTTCAGGGCCCAGGTATCAGCACATCAAAATGCAGAGAGTGAGAGGCCGTGGTAAAGCTGGCAACGCACTCAAACAAAAGCTGACTTAGTTGGCAGGGCCCAGCCGAGAAGGTGCCCGGGACTTGGTGCAATGGGACTGCACGAGAAGTCTGTGGCAGGTTAGGGCCCCCCTGGCCTCGGTCCTCCCGTCCCTGCCTGCTTCTCCCTCTCTCTGTCTCTCTGTCTCTCTGTCTCTATTGCTCTCTGCATCTCTTGGTCTCAGTTTCCCGGACTCTGACTCTCTCGGTCACTTCTCGCAGTGGCTCCAAGATCTGCTTTTGTTTGTATCCATGTTTTCTGAGCTTTCCCCTCCTAACCGTCACGAGGTCCTTCCTTGAAGTCTCCAATCCCTTGAAACGTCTGCTCTCCCGGGGGCAGTGAGGGCGGCTGACCCCCAGGTTTGGCTATGACGCCGTTCCTTCTGCCCCACTGTGAGTTAACTGAGTGGCACAGATGCCACCATTTGCTTAGTGAGGAAGGGGTTCAGGATGGTGGTTGGGAGAGGCTGCCTGTCCTCCCTCTTGAGGTTGGCAGCACGCAGTAAGGTAGTGGAGCACGGAGAGGCTGTGCAAGAAAAGCCTTTGTCTCTGTTTTACCTCGTGTCTCCACATTTATCTGACCCTCCGTGGAACGGAGTTTTGCGTAACCCTGGCTACCACCCTCCAGAAGCCCTCTGGGAACGTCTCCCTCCCGCTGGGGCAACTGGAGCAAAGGTGGCTCTGGCCTGGCACTCCCAGGCTTGTAGTGAACAGTTTTTGCTCCTGGAGGCCCGTGCTTCAGGGAGCCCAAGGAACCCGTGGGTAGCTGGCCTCAGAACCCCAGGTCTAATCACTCCTGTCCTTGTAGAGACATGCACCCGGTGTGTGCACGCTACGGCCTGCGAGGGCACTCTGCATTCATAGGTGAGGAGGTGCGCAAGCTAGGCGATGTGATTTCATACGGGAGAGTGTCACTTTGCCATAAATACACACATACAGACACGTGTCAACCACACACAGAGGCACACGCTGTCCTCCAGGCAAACACATTCAGCCCTGCACAGTCAGACACGGTCACTCTGCCCCAGCACAGCCAGGTGCACAGAAATGCCAATCCCGTCTCACCTCACCACCCCAACACAACACCCCGTTCTAGCTACTTACCCCTCTGGGACAAACCGCTTCGAAACTTAGTGGCTCAAAACAACAACTCTGTTATCATAGCTGGCGATTTTATGGGTCAAGAATTCAGGCTGGGCTCAGCTGGGCATCTCCTGCAGCTAGGGGTGTTCACTGAGGTGACCCAGGGTACTGCCTGGTCAGTGGGCTCATCAGGAAAGACAAGGACAGCTCCCCTCACATGTCTGGTGCCTACCTGGGCTGGCAGGAAGGCAGGGCTCAGTCGGGACTGCTGGCAGGAGTCTGCTCGAAGCCACTTAGGGGTGGCATCTCCCTGGACTTGGTTCTCTCAGCTGGTGGCTGGTGTCCCCAGAAAGAGCATTGCAAGAGGCAGAGGAGGGTGCTGTAAGGCTCCTGGGACCTCAGGAGGGAGCGTCCACCTGTCCTGCATGTTATTAATAAAGCGAGTCCCTCTGGCTTGCCGAGATTCAAGGGGAGCTCATCAGTGGGAGGAGTCACAGAGAACTTGAGACCATCTTTAGTCCAACACTCACTCACACACACACACACACACACACACACACAGTCTACATAGCTCATGCTGACCTTCAGCCTTCTACTACTTTGTCTCCATCCTCTCCTTACACAGGAGAAGGTAGAGGCTTGGAGAGGACACGCACCTCTTAGTTAGAACCAGGGTTCAAACCCAGGTCCATTCCCGCTTCCTGCCAGGACCACTCACTGCCTGGTGCCTGGGGCCAAAAGTTGCCCCAGGCACCAAGAAGTTTTGTGCAAGAATTTCAAATGACAACAAAAAAAATAGTTGTGGGGTGGAATGAGATTGCTTTCTTCTCAACTTTGAAAAAAATGATTGTGGAAAGATAAAGTGTCATCACGCTTGGCGTTCTTGTGCTTAGACTTAACCTCTGAAATCAGACCAAAGCCTCGAGGGGTGCAAAGACATTACTCCCCTGTCAGTAAAAGCATGTATTTTGGTGTTTGATTTGAAATTTCATTTAAAATCGGGACCCAATTCCAGCAACGTGAGCGTAAGCTGCGGGCAGCCTTCCCAGTCTGCCTCATGAGTGCCAAGTCAATCCAACCATTGTCCACACTGACTGCTGGGGTGCTTGTGACTTTGTGGCCCTTGAAGAATTTGAGTCGGATGATCCAGGACATCTGTGTCCAAGTCGCATGCCTTCTTGCAGCAGGCCGGAACATTCCACAGAGCTGAAAGGGAAACGGCATCTGGATTCCAAAAAGTGCTTCAAATCCACGGTTTGGTTGAAACCACAACTTCACTGCCCTGTCGAGGAATTTCCAGATGAAGAAACCAGTTCCTTTGTCCTGCTCTCCCTCAAGGGTACAGAAGTGGGTGGGGTCCTGGAACACATCTGTCTTCTTTCTCAGGATCTGCCTCCTAGGGAAGTCCACCTCTTTATTTTGATGTGGTTCCAGGAGGACCCCCTCCCCCACATTCCCATTCTCCTCTCTTAGTTGATGATGCTATTGTCTAGGTGGTCGCCTGAGTCATCCTTAAAGTCTCCCTGTTCTTCACCCACCTGTCCAAATTGCTTGCCATGTCCCAATGGGGTATTCAGAGCTGCCCTTCCTCTCTGTCCCAGCTCAGCCCTGGGCCTGGCCATGGCCATCTTTTGCTGGAAGAACCTTCTGAATGGCCTCTTGGCCTCCAGCACAGCCTCCACCAAGCAGTCAGCGTGCTCCTTGTGGGATGCACACCAGGTCATCCCCCCATTCCTCTGTGTCTCCCTGTTGTATGCAGCAAGTGCCCTTGACCCTGCTCTGTGACCTTGACCCTGCTCGGTGAGTCCCCATGCCTCTGTCACCAAGATGGGGAACTCCAGGCCCTTCCCTGAAGGGACACAGCAGTTCCCCTTTGGTCTGTTTTGGCCTCCTTCGAGGAGGACGTTCTTAAAGATTGATAAAAGGCCTGAGCTCCTCATGGGGCACACGGGCCTCAGCCTTGTGGTACCTTCTGTCCCCTCCCAGGCCCCTTGGTGTCCACCCACACATGCTGCGCTTTCCTCCAGACACGGGCCCCCTTGCTGCCTGGCTCACGTTCGGTGCCCCTTTTCTCTGCCCTTCTTCTCCTCCCAAGTCAAACTTAAGCAGCTTAGAAGGCACCTTCTGCAGGTGACACTGACATCATGTGTCCCTGCAGACAGAGGAATGGCTGCCCCTCCGTCCTGAAGTCCCTAGGGCATATTTGGAGGGGGCTCTGGCCATGACAAGCTCTTTCACTGTCTTCCTGCTGATGAGCAGATCATGAGTGACTCCTGCAGGAGATTCCCACCTTATTCCCTCTGAGCTGCCAGGGTCAGCAAAGCTCGTGGGCCTGAGAGCCACTCAGCCACTCATCTCACGCCCCATTGACCATCGGTCGGCCAGCAGCCTTGGGCTGGATAAGTGAGGCAGTCAGAGGGCGCAGTAAGTGGGCCCTGGGGTGGGGGTGGGGGACCACAGGCCCCCTTGATTCTGGGAGCTTCAGTGGCACTCCAAGCAGGTATGTTCTGAGCATGATTTAAGGCCTAAGGCACAACTGGTCCCTGAGAAAGGGTCGGCTTAGCCCACACAGGGCAGCCCTCTGGGCAGAGCTAATGGGATTGGATGTGGGAAGGGACAGCAGGAGTCCTCGAGCTGATCCATGGCCAGGCTTCGCCCCTTAACCTTGTGCCCACATTCCGACCTCTAGTCCCATCATTCCATGCCTCCCAGCCTCCTGTGGAGTCACCAAGGGGCCCTGTGTCCTCTGAGAGGGCTGAGAGGAGGGAGGAGGAGAGATGAAGTGAGTTTGAAACTTGTCACCTGCCTGTGCAACCAAGGCTTCACACTCTGTGTGCAAAGAAAAGCCACCACATCCTTACTACTGATTTCTTTTTGAAAATTGAGACATAATTCAATTACCATAAAATTCACCATGTTAAAGGGCACAGCTGAGTGGTTTTATTCTATTTAACCCCTGCTATTAATTCCAGAGCATTCCCATAAATTTACTTTAAAAATCCTCTTTATTGTTCATTAAATTCATTTTTTTAGCCCACTAAAGAAAAAAAAAAGAAGTGTAGATATGAATAGGGGTACCATGGGATGATTCAATACACACGTAGCACTAACTAACTTCTGATGTTTTTGTTTTCTAGATTCCAATAATGAGAGACCCTGGATGGATTCGAAATGTGTGGCCTTCAAACATTAATGTGAGTGCGATTGCTGTAGAATATCATTATGCTTTCACATTTCAACATCAATCAACTACCCCTGGCACAGTGCATTTCTGCTGTGGATCTCTGTAGCCTCCAAAGCAAGATGGCGCCCTCAACCCACGCTTTCCAAGTTGCTCCGAGCACTTTCTCCAGGTTTCGTAAACTCCCCATGCAGCTACAACACCTGGGCTGGTTCTAATCTCTGCTTCTTGTGGTCTGTACCCTGCCATTCCCAGATGTGATTTTGTCACCTCCCTGATTAAAAAGCATTCAGTGGCTCTCTAGTGCCCTTGGACTGGTTGCTCATGTCTAACAAGAGCCCAGCAGCTATTCCTGAGCCCGTCAAGGTCCATCTCCAAGTGCTGCTTCTTCCTCTTGTTCTCTTCTTAGAGGCCCTTGCCCAGGAGCTGGGCTTCAAGCTTCAGTAGCATTGCACAGGGTGCTGGGCCCATGGTCTGAAACCTACATCACAGATGGGGTAGGGAGGCTGTTGGAGCATCCAGCAAAGAAGTGGAAAAGCCCAAGGGCCTATTCGTCCTTCCTGGGGCCTCTCCCAAACCTGTGGATACAGAACAAAGGTGGCACTAGGCCTCTTCCCTGGAGAAGCTCACTCACAGGCTGGAGAGGAACTTATGAAAACATGGTGTAGACTAAGGATTTTCAGAGGAGCCTGAGGCCTAGAGTGGTGACCACTGGAGCAAGATGGGCCCAGAGGCTCTAGTTAAATGAGCTAAGCCAGGCCAGAGGACTGTGCCAGGGGCAGGAGTTCTGCTCCAGAGGGACAGGGATGGGTCCAATGGGAGACCTGGAATCCTGGCCTGCGGGCGGTTAGTGGCAGTTGGAGTGAGGGCCACCCTTTGGGAGGAGAAGGGCAGGAAGTTCCAGTAAGTGACCTGTCGTCCTCTGGGTGGGCGTGTAGGCCTGGCGGGCACGGGGGCTGCCCCAAGCAGCTTCCCATGGTGAAGTCCCTGTTCTCCAGACCCTGGTGCTGAAGGCACTACCTCCAGGTTTCCGGGCCACCACTGGGCCCTGTGCAGGGCGATGGCTGCAGTGCGTGGGAGAGGCAGCCCAGGGGCCTCTGCTGAGGTTGTCCCTGCAAGACAGGAGGCAGGGGGCGGGGGGCATCTTCACCATCCATGACTGGGGAGTTGGATTAGGAGTCTGCCACCTGCACTGTGTGCCACTGAGAGAGTCGCCTGTCCTCTCAGAGCTCAGCTCCCGGGTGCAGGAGGCGTCCGTTCAGTCATCATCCTACAGTGCTGTACCCCAGCTGTAGCAGTAGGACCGAGTGACGTGGGTGACCGGTGGGTGTGGGGAGGGTTAGAAGGGTTTTCAGGGAAAGGCCTATTGACGGACGAAGGCAGGCCTTGCGGGAGTCTCGGAAGAGCCCTGACCGTTGGCAAAGCACAGAGGTAAGGAACAGCATGGTGCGTCTGGGAGCTGGGCCCATGATTGGAGAGGGGAGCAGGGGAGATGAAGTCAGGGAGGAGGAGGAGGGCGCCAATGACCAGGAGCCTCAACTGCTTTTCTAAGGACCTTGGACTTATCCTTCAGATAATGGGGTAGGGGGACCTTGACAAGCAATGTCATGTCAGAGCTGCAGCCTGCGAGAGGTCGGGAGACCAGCCAGGAACTTGCTAGTGGCCTGGTTGTGTTCGGAGTCCTTCAGGATTATCCGCGTGCAGGTGGCCAGAGGTGGCCAGTCTGGGGCTGGGGCAAGGCCTGGTCTGTGAATACTGAGCTTCGGAGCCATGCTGTCACCCAGGGAGGGTGTGCCGCGTGCTGGTGGGTTTCCAGTCCAAACCTCCTTTTCTGGCCCAGCGTTTGATTGCTCCTGTTCTCCGTCATCTTCAGAAGGGAGGTCCATGGATTTTGAAAATGTTTGGTGTCAAGAAAGCCAAGAGGAAGGGGAAGTCCACCCAGAAGGAAAGGAAGACTCCAAGTCTCTCTCTGGTCTCCCTTCCTGGTTTTGGTGTCACTTGCCAGGCATCAGGGACACAGTGCAGACTGGGTCATGGTGGCTCTCTTCCAACGGCTCGCTGTGGCGGAGGCAGGGTGCGCGGGGGTGCCAGGTGACACGTGCCGTCTTGAGGTTCAGGGGAGCTGCTTGGTGCAGAGAGACCTGTGACGACTCCTCCATGAGCCGGAGGAATGTTTCGGGGAAGGTGACCTCGGAGACTTAGGTCAGTTTGAAACCTGGGGTTTGCAGAAACCCCAAGACCTACACGCTCTCCAGCAACCACACCTGACTAGTCCCTCCCGACAGATTCATGTCCTCTGGAGGACAAAGGCTGAGCCCCGGCATGTTCACAGGCAGAGAAACATGGTGGTTCAATCTGCAACACGGAAAGCAGCAGCAGTTCCCAGGTTATCCTGGCCCGTTACTTGAAACCAGATTTTGCCCATTTATTTTATCTTTTGTTATCTTTCGAGTTGAGAAAAGGACTGGGCCTGAATTTTAGTTTTCTCGTGCATTTTGTAGGGGGAGGATTTAGATTAATTTTTGAAAATTTTTATCCAAGTGACTTGTTGTTTGACTTCTGTAAGATCATCTAGGAAATGCTGGCTCACAGTGACAACCACATTGTCTGCTCCCACCCAGCTGACTGGCAGGTCTCCTTTGCCTGTTGCCCCAGGACTTGGCCTGACGGAGGCCCGCCTGATGGAGGCCAGCCGGTTCTCCAGCCTCACCACGAGGGCCCCTTCCTCCTGCTCTGACATTTATGCCCATCAGGTTTCAGCCTGCTGTGCATTCAGACTTGCCTTTCTTGTCTAGGGTGTTTGGGGGCTCAGTTATTCCAACAGTGTGTTCTTCTTCATTTATGTTTGCCTTTCTTTCTTCTGCTCTTCTCTCTGACTTCCTCCAAAAAACATTGTACTTCAGCTGCTACTGTAGCCCATCGCTTGGAAACCATCACTTTACTTGTAGGCCCGTTAACTTACCATTCGATCCATTCCTTCTATTTGGATGATCATAATTTTCATACAGCTTTTAGGGTCATTTATTTATTTAACAAACATTATATAGTACTTACCACATGACAGGTTTTTTCCTCCTAGGAGTACTATAAATATTAATTAATTTAAATCCTTACAACAATTTTATAAGTTAGACCTATGATTATTATCTCCCTTGATAAGAAATATCCCAGAGTGGCTGAGTCACTTGCTCCAGGTCACACAGCTGGTAAATGGCAGGGCTAGAATTTACATCACACCTCTGGCTCCAGAGACATGCTCCTAAGCACTAGAATTGCTGCCTCTAGAAGAAGTTTCTGTTTCCATTTTTTGTTTCTTGCATTTAGTACTTGTATCCCGTTCTCCAGATCTTCCAGATTCTCTGCTCTCGTGCAGCAGCCTTTTCCTCCCGGCCTCTCCCCACCCAGGAGACCTCTCCTCCCTGCCTCCTCCTGGGTCAGCAGAGAGGTAATGGGAGCCCTCCCTACTCCAAGGTTGCCAGATGGAAGTTTTCTTCTTTCTGAGTTTACCCTTTTAAAATAAAGTAAAAGTGGGGCACATTTTCAGCACAGAAAACACAGGTGGGAGAGGTGTTTTTGAATCTTGCATGATGGACTCTCTTCTCTAACTTGGCTTCACGTGTTATTTTGTTAGGATTTCAGATTGGAGCCTACTGTTCCGTTTTCACAGAATTTTGGACACGTTGTTCCATGGCCTCCTGACAGCTAATGTTCCCTGGATGTCATCGGACTTTTGTTCCTTTGTAGGTGACCTTTGGCTTTGTTTTTTCCTGTCTGCAAGGGTTTGGAGTCCTCTGTCAAACCTTGGTGTCCTAAAGCCTCCTGTGCCACGCACTGGTCATTCCATTGACCTTCTCTTCTAATCTGATGCCAGCAGCTGAGCTCAGGAAGACCCAGGGCAGCGGTGGTGACCAAAGACAAGGGGTGCTCCTCTACCCCATCTGTCTCCTGTTGGCCAACTTCTCTGATTTCGTTCATTCCAGGTCTGATGATTGCTTCTTAACCTTCAACGTCCTTTGGTGGTGGTGGTCCTCTCTTTCTTGGTACAGCCATACTCTGTTTTGCTCTTGTGAACGATACATCTCTCCAATGTCTTTGAGATTCTAATTTGGGGGCTTCTTCTTACCCATTTCTCTCCGGTCACCTTGTCTCTGTCTCTTCTGGAGTCACGGCTCCCTCTTGTCTCTTGCCCTCTCTCTTTCATGAGCAGAACTTCCTCGCCCCTGGTGTCTGACTCTGTTCGTTCAGCACAGATGGGATCAGAGGGCTTCTTGGGGGTCTAACTGGCAGAGGCCACTCTGGAATAAAGGTCAGGAGCTGGCTGTCCTGCAGGGGATAGTCCCCACAGCGCCTGCTGGAGGTGGCACTGGGCACCCCCACCCGCTCTCGCAGCCCCTCCTCAGGGCCTCGGGGGCACCCTGGGCTCCCCATTATCTCTTTGCTCCAGCTTTCTTTGGCCCTCACCTTGCAATCTGACTAAACGTCTTTCCCAAGGAGACGCCCGTCCTGGTCCCACACTGCTTTGCATTCTGAAGTGTCCTTGACATTCATGAGGTATCTGGTGTGAAGGAGTCTGGTGCCTGTTGGTCCACTCCACCACCCTGTCTGCCCTCCTGCCCTGTATTTTCCTTCCCTGCCCGGCCCTGGTAGTGAAGCCACCGTGCAGTTGTCTGGTGACAGTCATGTGTCCTTTATCTAGAAACGCACTGTGCTAGCTTGGCTCTTAGAGCCAGTTGCTTTTGAATCATTATCGCATGGAAGAGCGACAGGCACAGCAGAGTCAGACACAACAATACTGCATTTAATTAGAATCTTACATTGTACAGAGAGAATGGTCATTTTCTTTCCGTGGATCCTTGGGTTTTATGGAGATGCCCCAAGGCCCTGTCTTGTTGGTGAATAGGAGCACTGTGCCAATGTCCATCTCAGTGTCTAGTCCCGATTCTCCTCTTATCAATCCCTTCTTCTCCCACTCCAGGGAGTATCCTGTCCTGTGTCCTTGCCACCTGCTTCCTC